GAACTCTGATGACAATGAAGGTTAATGCTACAAATAAAGACTTCCCATATTCACCACATTCATAAAACATTTTTGTGTGAACTCTGATGCTATTAAAGGTGACTGATACAGATAACGAATTCCCCCCATTCAGTGCACTCATAAAGCATTTCTCCAGTGTGAACTCTGACAACAGAGATCAGAGTTGTGGTAAAGATTTCCTATACTCAATGCATTCCCGAGGCCTGTACCCACTGTGAACGCATTAATAATGGAAGGCAGAGCTACAAGTATATTGATTTCTCACATTCACTGCACTATTATAGCCTTCCTAGAGTGTGAATTCTGATGTTTATAGAGGGCAGAGCTTCTGGTATAAGATTTCCCACATTCACTGCACTCATAAGGCCTTTCTCCTGTGTGAACTCTCTGATGATAATGGAGGGCAGAGCTAATGAAAAAAGATTTCCCACAATCACCACACTCATAAGGCCTATTTCCAGTGTGAACTCTCTGATGGTAACGAAGGGCAGAGCGACATGTTAAAGATTTTCCACATTCACCACACACATATGGCCTTTCTCCAGTGTGAATTCTCTGATGATTACGAATGGCATAGCTACGATTAAAAGATTTTCCACAGTCAGTACACTCATAAGGCCTTTCTCCAGTGTGAACTCTATGATGTTTACGGAGCTCAGAGCGACTGGTAAAAGATTTTCCACATTCACCGCACTCATGAGGCCTATCTCCAGTGTGAATTCTCTGATGTTTATAGCGGGCAGAGCTACTGGAAAAAGATTTCCCACATTCACTGCACTCATAAGGCCTTTCACCAGTGTGAACTCTGTGATGACATTGAAGGTCCCAGCTAATGTGAAAAGTTTTTCCACATTCAGTGCACTCATAAGGCCTTTCTCCAGTGTGAAATCTGTGATGACGTTGAAGTGCCCAACTACTGTTGAAAGATTTTCCGCATTCACCACACTCATAAGGCCTTTCTCCAGTGTGAACTCTGTGATGACGCTGAAGTGCCCAAATACTGTTAAAAGATTTCCCACATTCACCACAGTCATAAGGCCTCTTTCCAGTATGAACTCTCTGATGATAACGAAGGGCAGAACTACAAGTAAAAGATTTTCCACATTCAGTGCACTCATACGGTCTTTCTCCAGCATCAATTCTATGAGGCTTACTGGCAAAAGATATTCCATGTTGACCAAACTCATAAGACCCTTCTCCAGTGTGAACTCTGTGTTCACATATGTCAGAGCTACTGGTAAAAGATTTTCCACATTCACTACACTCATATGGTCCCCCTCCATTGTGAACTCTCTGATGGTTACAGAGGGCAGAGCTATGGGTAAAAGATTCCCCACATTGACAACACAAAAAACAATGCCTTCCAGTAAGGGATCTGTGGTTCTCAACAAGTATGTGATCATGGCCGATGGCTTTCTTGCATTCTCTTTGGCTGTAATGTTTTCTGCTTTGAAAAGTCATTCCGGACTTAGAGATCTTATTTGCCCTGTGCATGGTGTGAGTAGCCATTCGCTTGAGATGTCCTGAGCTGATGAGGAACGACTTTCCAACCTGAGTAGAGGTATAAGGTTTCAAGGACATATGAAAATTGTGGCTCTCTGTAAGTGAGACTCTGTCCACATTGCTTAAGAAACAATTCTTTGTCATGTCCCCCTGCTCCTGGTGCTGGTGACTCTGTGCACTGAAATAAAATAGTTTTGCACATGCCCCACACCTCAGCAGTGTTGAGCTGTGCTGTGTTCCCTGCTTGTCAACCAAGAGGAAAATGTCTCTCAAGACTGGTCCACAACTCTCACAGGGATGGCTCTTCTGGGTAGCCAAAACTGACTTGGGTTTCTTACACTGTGAGATTCTTACAGAAATGCTCTGTTCAGTGGGTGCCTCCACATCCTCTGGTCCACAGCAGCAACCTGAACAAAAAGAAATTCTGGTAAAACACATAGCGACCTACAGGAAGGCGGTGTTCTCACCAAAAAATTGCATTTGTAGCATCCAGGCATGATTCTATGTGAAAGTTTTCTAGACAAGTGAGACAGATTCTGACACAGTGGTTGTTGTACATTACTAGGCCACTAATGTCTATAAATAATAGCTACCTCTATAATAAAAACACTAGTTTAGGACATGACACAAGGATGAGAGGAGGGTATATAAGTTGTACTACTGTAGATGGCTGCCTGCAAAACCCTTCCTGCTGGTGATGTCAGGCTGTGTAGAGAAAAGGGAATGTGTCTAAAACCATGAAAATCAATCACAGCAGAGCAGATGCTGTGCAAGGTTTGTAGAGAAAGATGTGCACACTTCAAGGTGCAACAGGTGATGACCAATGTCGAAGAGCATAGCAAAAAGACTCCTTAGGGAAATGGCAGTGGTGTAGTGGTTAGATAGAGGTACAGTTTATCCCTGGCTATAAATCAGAGTAGAAATGATAACTATTAGAACAGATAGGCTAAGTACCAACACTTGGAAAGGGCAAGTACATTAAGGTGTGGTCACTGGAAATGGTGAAAAAATACAGTTAGAGAACAGGTTCCTCATTAAGTCTTAACAAACGCCTGGCATCAAATGCTCCCCAAATGCCATTCAGAAATGCTGGAAACCCTCTGAGCCCATCCTGTCATGGCTGGACTTCTGTCTCTCTTGTGATAAACAAGAACCCTTCTGCCTCCCTTCCAGTTAAGCAATTATATGGAATAATGACAATGCAAATGCAAGAGAAAAGAGAAGAAATACATAACCAGCACTGTCGTAGTACAACTCAGCACACTGTCATTCAAGAAACAAGACATCCTAAAATGATAACAAAGTGAAGTCATCAAGAGGATAACAATTTTAACCACTATGCACCCAACCACAGAGCACCTAAGTACATCATGGCAACAATATGAGACCTGAGAGCAGAAAATGCAATGCAACAGTATTAGACAACCTGAATATCTCCCTTTCAACAATAGGTAAATCATCCCATCCGAAAGCAATAAGGAATTATTAGAGTTGACTATACTTAAAAAAAAAACAGAATAAACATGTACATATTTTATCCAGCCTTGGCCAAGTGGCTCAGTTAGTTAGAGTACTGGCCAATGTACAGAAAGGTTGAGTGTTTGATTCCCGGAAAGGGCACAAAACTAGGTTGTAGATCAGTTCCTGGTTAAGGACAAGTACTGGAAGCAACTGATCCATGTTTCTCTCTCACATTGATGTTTCTCTCTCTCCCTCCCTTCTTCTCTCAATCGAAAAAATATTTTTTAGTGAGAATAAAAAATATAGAGAGATGCAGAAATAATCAACAGGAATATAAAAAATGCTTTTCCTCCCTATTTCATTAGGCTTCCAGAAACACTACTGACCTCAAATCCTTCCCTGTAAGGGCTGGAAATGGAGTTTAGACTGAGATGCCCCCAAATCACCCACAGCCTTTGGTTGGGGGATGAAGGAACAGACAATAAGGCTTAAGATACTTTTCATGCCCAGCTGGTGTGGCTCAGTGGATTGAGAGACAGCCTGTGAACTGAAAGGTCCCTGGATTGTTTCCCAGTCAGGGCACATGCCTACATTGTGGGCCATGTCCCCAGTCTGGGGTGAGAAAGAGGCAACCTATTGATGTATCTCTGGCCCATCCATGTTTCTCTCCCTAACTTTCTCCCCACCTTACCCTATCTCTAAAAATAAGTAAATAAAATCTTAAAAAAATAAAGAAAAGAAAGATACTTTTTATAACAAAGACAAAATAATAGCTGTGCTACTGCCTCAAGGTAAGATGTGTGAAACTTTCAGGATATATCCTGACTCCTAATGTAGCCAGAGGGGCACTCCCATGGAGTCACTCCTGCCTTGATAGGGGATGGCAGCAGAAAAAATGTAAATAAGAACTGGTAAATGTAGCTCAGAGTGGAAGGAGTCAGAGATAAGGTCACACAGGAGGCAAGAGGGTCAGTATTTAAAACTAATGGTGAGCAGCCATGAAAGAATTTGGTCATAAGTCTCGGAAGGTAGTGGGAGCAATGATATAACAGCCATGTGATATGGAGAAATAAGCAAGCAGCTAGCTATGTAGTTTGTAGTCAGGATTTGGCCATGTGGCCTGGTATAGTAGGAAGAAGACATGTTGCCCTTCTGATCTTGCAGGCTCTAGCTGACTCCAAAGACTCTCACTGCAAGATAGTGACCTGCCTTGCAACCACAGACTCTATCTGGACTCTTGGGACTTAGGTCTTTCCCTGACTTCACTATGATCCAGTGTAATGTGGCACATCCTTTCCTGGACTGTTACACGAAAACTGATGACAACATACCCCAGATCCTGGAGGACAGAACTGCTTGCACAGCTGACTTAAGGTAAAGACATAAGGAACTTTTGGGGCTTTTGGCTTACAGCCTTTTAGGGAATAAGGGAAATGCACCTTGTGGGAAAGGAGGGCTTTGAGCATAAGGGCTCTGAGCCCCCACCCCCAGGGTTGAAATGTTGTAAATAAAGACATGTTCCTTCCAATATAGATTATTGGGTCATTCATCAAGGTGTCACATGGATGAGCCCATGTCTGCTCAGTGACAGATACAGTACACCAGGTACTGGGGCTGAAAGAGGAGAAGGGAGCAGTGCAAATAAACAAGTCTTGATAAGTGCAGAATCTACACAGAAATCTCGAAAAGTAAACTGTGTATACAGTCCACATGTGAGGGCAGAGCAACCCTGGAAAACCTTAGGGCATGGGGAAATGCAAAGCTTAGTTCAGGTCACTGGTGAGTAAAGAGTTTTTTTTTTTTTTAAGTGAGAGTTTATTGAAGTTTGGGGCAATGAGACAAAAAGAAAGAACCCTTGAGACCACAAGATCAGCTGCTGCTGTCCATTGTTTCCTGGGTACAAGTCTGGTCAAGACCCTTATACCTTAGAATAAGAAAACCCAAAACCACAACCCTGGGAAAAGAGAGGTGCACACACGCCAAAGAAAAGTGCACAGGGACAGTGAATGTCTTACCCAGTGAAGATATAAGGGCAAAGTTCTCCAGCATCACATTGAGATACAGGCGTCGCTGAGCCTCACTAAGAAGGTGCCATTCTGTCGTTGAGAAATACACAGCGATATCCTCAAATGTCACAACAATCTGTCAGGATTAATACAAATGAATCAAAACAGTCTGAGACCTCACAATCCTACTGTTACCCATGCCCTACCCAGTCATGAGCCACCAGTTCAGAGAAGACACCAGCCCTTGGTGACAGAGCTGCCTTTGGTCTCATCTAGTCTCATTAATCACTCACACCCCCTACAACAAAGGCAGGCAGGATGAGAGTAAGAGGGACAAATAAATGCCATCTAAACTTGGGACCATGCCTGAGGGGCCACATCCTTCCTGCTAAGGAATTTCACTGATCCTCTCAGATCATGCCTTTGCATGATCCTTGATGTATGTTTCACCATTAAATCACAATACCATCGGTATCCAAGACCATCGGCTCACATTTCCTCTAGCTACGCACATCACCATGTGATCTCTCCTTCACATCTTCACACCACAAGTTGACTCCCTTGGCTCTGCCCCTTCACTCTCATGCACAAAAGAGCCACGACTTTTGCACATCTACATTCTATTGCCCAGATTTCCGTACCATATGTTTGGCTGCTCACTTGATGTTTCTACTCACTGTTCCTGGAAACTTCTAAAAATGTAAACCAAAAAAACCTTCTGATATTTCTAAAGAGAATTAACCTACCACCAACTTCCCTTGCCCAGTTGATGGAACCTCCCCGGCTTCAGCTGTTAGGACCAAAAACACTGGGGTGTTTGAACCATTTCCTTTCTCTTCCACAACTGTGAAATGTGAAACTCTATGTGCCTTTCTTAAAAAACTGAAGTGGGGAGGAGGGGCAGTGGGGGTGGAAGAGCAAATAAGAGACAGAAATGGTAATAGGAAAAAGTACAATAAAAAATGGACCAATAAGCCAACCTTTCCTTCTACCTCTGAGGCCCAGCTCTGGTCCATCAGCTCTCCTTTGGATCATAGAACCCACTTGGTCTTGTGCTTCCTGTCTCCTCCCTTAATTCCCATAATCCTTTTTGCACTATGCAGCCAGATGGAGCCTGTTAAACCCAGGAGAGACCAACTCCTTTCTCTTATGCAAATGCCCCATTTTCTCCCTAAGAGATACTCAAATTATCATTTGGACATTTTACAGGTCTGATTATTGACTCTCCCAGCTCCCTGTTTTTAATACAAAGGATGGACATCAGAGGTACCTATTCCCAGCTCTGTGGCATGTCCAAGCATTTCCATATGCAGGTGTATCTCCATCAAAAACCTTCCATTACTGCTCACACTGGCCGCCTGTGTGAACCTAAAAAAGGGGGGGATGGGCCACATACTAAACCTGACTAGCTTAGGGGAGTCTGCCATGATAGCCTTAAAAACCGAGAGACTGAAAATACCCCCATAGATGGTATGAAGTTAAAACTGTCTAACTAAAGGCAAGTTATGGCAATGAGCTATGTCTTAGGCTGTTATTTTCCCTTGGAAAGGTCAATGTTTACCTTAAGCAAGCCCATCTTTGTATTTTTCCATCTACATTAACATACCCTTCAAATGTCAGGATAATTTCCTTTTTATTTTTACCCTTCAGGGCACAAACACTGCACCAGAGCCCCAAAAACCTGCATTGTTCTTTTTATTGTGTTAATTAACTATCTATAACCACCAATGTAAAAGAACCATGTGTCTATTCACTTTTACTTTTTATACAATATCAGAATTTCATTCCTTGTTTTCTCCTACCTCCCACACCTATCACCAATTTCCACATTTCAAGTTCCGCATTTATGTCTTCCCTTTTGATTCTGATATATAAAATCAGTGCTAAAACTGCCATTTTCCGAAGCATTTTCTCACTCCGTTGAGGTCCCTGTTTCCTGGCAATCATACTGTTTGGCTTAAAATTAAAAAAAAAAAAAAAAAACCTCTACAGGTTTAATGTTTCTAACGTTGACACAAGAAATGGGAGCATCTTGATATTACCGGTGACTTACTCTCAAGATTGGGGTATCCCCAGGGTCCTCACAACCAAGAGCTGAGAAATGACCAAGGGAGGAGTCTTTAGACACTATAACGTAATGTCACCACTAGGTAAGGACTGGGACACCCTTTCCCTCCTTGTCTAATTTCATAATGATTTTCAACTTTGGGAACTGTGGGAAGAAGTAATCAACCATCCTTTGTAAGCTCCTGGTAAGCAGGTCTCAGTTGTATCTCAGCCCAGCCCTGGAGTCTGGTGATCTCGGGCCAAGTGTCTCCTCACCAAAGTTTCTTATAAGCCCTGTGACCTTGAACAAGCGCTCCTGTCCTCATCACCCCAGTCCAGTCCGTCTTCTATCTCAGCAGGATCTAAAAGACTTTGTAAACCATGACACAGCCTGTGTCCTCTCTCGGTTCACGACCATCCCGGGCTCCCAGGACCCTCAGAATGAAGGTGCAACCCCTCCGCCTCCCAATCAGGACGTGACTCCGCCTCAGATGTTGAAGCAGATCTAAGGCCGAGGCCAGGTTTGCGGGTCCTTCAGAGACATCAGCAGTCGCTCGTCGTTATAGGGCGGCCCCTCAGCCAATCACCCTCGCCGACCCCATCACACCGTTTGTACCCACGAGCGCTCACGGTCCCGAACGCCACGGCCTGGGCAGCAGAATGTGACAAGCGCCCCGCACTTGGGCTGCAGGGCTCAGTGGGCTGAAGGGAGCGAAGGAGGAGGGCCTGGGGACGCGCACTCACCTCCGCCGGGAGGTTCGGCAACACCCCCGCAGGCGGACTCTGGGGACCCAGCGAGGCAGACACAGCGATCGAGAAAGGGGCGCCGAGCACCGCCGTCCCCATCCCGGACCAGGCGCTAGTCACCTCGGGCGGAGTCACGGAGCCTCACAGTCGTGTTTGTGATGCGGCGACTAGGTCTCTCCGACTTCTCGTGACCGCATCGCTACGGCGACCCTGCGCCTGGCTCCCTCTGACAAGTGAAGTAACCCTGACAGAAAACAAAATGCCCGCCAGCTGGGCGGCGGAAGTTCCGCCCTCATGTGGTTGGCCCCAACGGAAAAGCCTTTTCTGAGCCTTCATTGGCTCAGCCCTCGAAGTGCCTTGTGGGTATTGTGGTTCCTAGAGTCAATGGAGGCGAAAAGCGGTTTGCCCCTCATGAAAGGAGAAAAGACACGGGCTCCCAAGGACGGTACTGGAAAATGACAATTCCTGTTGGAAAAGAGATCTTGAATATAAAAGGTGTCATCTCTTCCTGGTGAAGGGTCACGCTCTTAAAATCCTGAAAACCTACTTGTCATTTGGTGTGCCTCTTTTTTCACTTTTCCACAGCACCTATCCCTTAAATTTACTGTAACATGAATTTTTTTTGACTGCTTGCCAGCCATCAATAAAGGCTTTGAGAAAACCTGGTTACAAATACCTTTATTTACAAGCTGATAGGTAACACAGACCTAGAAGAGCACAGGAAGCAGATGAAATAATCAGTAAAGGATGCCATGTCTTACATTCTTCTAAATTTTTCTGCTCACAACTTACTGTCTTTGTCCCCTCTTGTTTCCTCGGGTTCTCATGAATGAAATGGATTCACACTTTGTGAAAACAATGTCATGGTAGCCAAGTTTCCAGCAGAGACACAGCTCAGGTTAAATCTCTCGTTCTTAGAAGTTAGTGTCCTTTGTTCATCACCCATTGTGTTTTACCTGTTCTCAGGCTTAATAGAGCCTTTTCTTTCTTAGCTATGTAATTATCATGATATAACTTCATTAATCAACACAAATACCGTTCTGTAGTTTGACCTAAATCACTTTTGGAAATATTCTGCAGTCCCCACGCAGACATTGTCAGTGCATTTTCAGCAGGAATGATCATGTAGACGTAAAATCTCAAATTCAAAACCTTTGCCTTAAGTTGAGGTGCCCACTTTCAACATAATCAGATATCAACATTGCACCAATTCTGGCAGCAAATATAAAATTGGTACATAACCAGTATTCCCAGATACATGTTATATTTTTACAAGTTTGGAATACACCATATCTGAGAAAATTCAGTAAAAAATGTCATGTGGAAAATGAGTGAATTCATCATTGTTCCCTGACAAGATCCACTCTCTGAATCCAAAATCTTTTCCTCAGGTTCAGATGTCCATTTTCCACACCTTCCTGGATGCCAACAACTATAAACTGGCTAATAACATTCCCAGATATACTTACAAAACAATAAACTATGCCTCAGTAAGTTTCATAAGAATTGTTAATGGAGAAAAACTAGTAATTTGTTATTGGAACATAAATAAAAAGATAGCAGATTAAATAAATTCTGAGGAAGGTAGGGTGTCACACCATTCACTGGTTTTAGGGCTGCCTAATATCACGCCTCCATGATTCCTCCACGTCTCAAGTATTTTTGCTCTCATCTGTGAGTGAACACACCTAGTCTCCTGATAATCAAAGAGCTTTATTCCTCATAAAATGAATAGTAAGATGACTTTATTCAGTTTTTTTAGTGAACCTTAGTATCTTTATAGCAATTGTTCCATGTACATTTCGGACATTTCCAGTACATAAGTTACAAATAAATTCCATAACAATATTTTACTTACATGTCTAGAATGAACTTTGGGTGTTAAAACTTTTTACTGGATTTAGCCACAGCAAGACACACTTAAAAAAAACAGGCCAATAAAACTACATAGAATATGAGTAGCAAGATAATCAATCAGGTCAAAATTCTCAAGAAATAAAAAAAATGGAGGCAATGTTAGATTTCAAGTGAAGTTTATGTTAGATTTCAAGTGAAGTTTAAACAGTGCTGAAACTGACCTGACAGCAGTTCTGTGCTGGGGAACCTTAACTGACATTGTGATTACTGTTCTCTTTAATATAGCCTAAATGTAACTCCTTAATTTTTGAAATATTTATTGGAAAGAATAAGAGACTTTGATCGGCTGACTCCTGCATACATCCCAACACAGGCATGCCTTACTACAAATTGAACTTGTTTGTGATGCTCTGGGGCACAAAATAATACTCTAACCAACTAAGCCACCGCAGTCAGACCTAATTTTTCTTATACATATTGTTTTCTTTAAAGTGTACTTGTATCTCAGTGTTAACTGGAATCTGGAGTAAGGGTGTCCATCACCAGAGTGTGGTGGAACCTGGGAATTCAAAAAAATCTATGTCCCAAACCAACACCTGTGCCACAGGCAGAGAGAGAAGCTGCAAAGAATGATGTGGGTTTAGAATACAGTCAGAGCTGCAGGGAAGATGTGGTGAGCACCATTGTCCATAAATCTACTCTGAACCTAGAGAGCAGAATAAGACTGGGGGGTGGGGTCCTCTCATGGAGAGGTGACCACTCACCCAGTGAGATCGTGATACCCTACATCTGGAGCACCACTTCTGAATACAAAATCCCCAACTTCATATCCAGCTGTGCCCTATCCTGAAGGGTGATTGTCAAGACCATGGACCAAAAACACCCTAGGAGACAGTGAGGTATCAAGTTGACCTAAATGAATGGTATCTTAGCCTGTCATCAGAAAAGTGGGTGAAGGAGCAAAGACCCAGACCAATCACCAGTCTCCTGAGGATCACAGTCCACGCTGGGCTCAGAGTAGGCGGACAGATTGCAGTTCAGACACTAAGACTCCCCTTGAAAATCCACCATAGCTGACAGCTGATAGCATTCCCATGAAGACTGAGGGGAGCCTATGATAAGTGCTCTGCAATACTAGAGAAATGGGAAGGGGGAGAAGCGGATCATAATTGGCAACAATGCAAGCAGCACTTTTAGCTGAGCCTGTTTCTTAGTCTAGCTGCTACAGTGCTGGGGATTATCCCTGGCTCAGGAGCCAGAATCTCAGGTTGCAGTCCAGCCCCTTCAAAGCTGATGCCAGGAAAAAGGAAAGTCCCAGGGCCAAACAGCGCTACAAAGTTGAGCCTCTGCCCAAGAGACATTTTGAAAAAAGCCTGAAAAAAGTGTTTATTAGGCTCTTCCTCCCTTTGACATACAGAGTAGTATACTTTAGGGTAAACAAATACAAGTTAAAACTTTTCTTCTTTATAAATGATGGCTGTGCAATAAATTCAGGTGTCCTGATAACATTAAATAGAATATGGACATGTCTGAATGGTACACAGAATAAATTTTACCAATGATCATCAACCAAATACCTTCAAGGTCAGCTGGCACAATAATGTCCAATAGATAAACATATCGGATGAAAAATCCCACCCTGACCGGTGCAGCTCAATGGATTGAGTGAATGCCTGTGAACCAAAAGGTGGCTGGTTTGATTCCCAGTCAGAGCACAGGCCTGGGTTGTGGGCCAGGTCCCCAGTGGGGGGCGCTCGAGGCAACCACACATTGATGTTTTTCTCTTTCTCCCTCTTTTCCCCTTTCTGAAAATAAGTACAATCTTAAAGAAAAAATCCTGGTAACAGTTGTAATGGTGGTTGACTTGGGTCAGTAAACTTGTACAAATGGATCACAATGCTAGGCCTCCAGTATATCAACTTCAACAGAAAGAATTCACAGACAAGACCATTATATAGAAGCAAGCAGAGCGAGAGTTTATTGAAAATACAGTACATGTTGGACAAAAGTACAGACTCTACCAGGAATGAGTGGTGGGATGGAGTAGAGTTGGTATATTTACCTGGGTTTGTTTCTGTTACCAATGAGTTTCAGTTCTTTCCTGATGCCAAACAATTTAATCCAGGGACATTGATAAAAGCACAGACAGACTTTTGAGGCTCTGCGTTGGGCAAGCATACTGAGATAATGCCTAAGGTTCTGTGCCCAGACAATGAGGCTTAGGGACCACAGAAGGTGCTGGGGTTTGTGGCATGACTTTAGATCTGAGAAACAAAATTAAATGAAGTCACGATAGTTCCTACACCCTTGTTTTTTAGCTACCTATTCATAACTGCCACAGTTCTGGCAGGGCTTAACTTGATGAGGCAATTTGGGAGAATACTTTTTTCGTTTCATTCCCCCTGAGAGATTTTGTACTCCTAATTTATTACAGGTTAGTTGATGGAGGTCTCTTCTTCTGTAGCTTCAACCTATAGATGAGGGACATTGGCCTAAGTGAGAAAAAACTTTTTAATACATTTAGTTTTATTGTAACAAAGCAACTTGCACATTTTAAGGTTTAAAACTGAGTATCAGCTCTGGCCACTGTGATTCAGTTGGCTGGAGCCTTTCTGTAACTGAGAGGTTGTGGGTTTGATTCCAGGTCTGGGGGTGGGTGCATGCAACCAACCCTAGGCCTGGACACATATGACCCCCAGTCTGGTGCGTATGTGAGGCAACCAGTTGATGCTTCTCTCTTGCATCAGTTTCTCCCTCCATTCCTCTCTAAAACCAATGAAAAAAGTGTCATCAGATGAGGATAAAAGTAAATAAACAAACCGAGGTTCATCTTTCCTTCACAGTGAAAACAAAAAGAAATGTAAAAAATAAACAGGAATAAAGTTATAATGTCCATTCTGAATAGAATCCTAGATTCCTGATTCTCTCATCTACTGGCAGGGCTCAAGTCACCATGTTATTTGGGAAGATGCCTGGGGAGCACTGATGACAAATGTCTTCTCAGATGTGACATAACTTCCCCTGTTCTTTTAGAACGGTGTGAACACAAAGGGGTCACATACTAAACCTGTCAAGCCCAGGGGAGGCCTGCGAGGTGGCGTTATTAACTCACAGTCCTAAAGTAACCACAAAGGATGGTGGCTATGATGAAATCGATATATATTAACTAAAAGCAGTTTATGGCAGGTCGTCATGTCGTAGGCTACAATCTTCCCTGACAAAAGACAATCTTCACTGTAAGCTGTGTATTGTCTTTTTTAAAAAAGATTTTATTTATCTTTAGATAAAGGGGAAGGAAGAGGAGACAAACATCAACGTGTGGTTGTCTCTCACACACCTACTGGGGACCTTGCCAGCAATTCAGGCATGTACCCTGACCGGGAATCAAAGCAGCAACCCTTTGGTTTGCAGGATGGCACTCAATCTACTGAGCCACACCAGGCAGGGCATGTATTGTCTTTTTGCATCTACAATAACATACCTTTGGAAGGTCAGAACTTGCTTTTTCCAGACTCTACAAAGGGCAGATAGTGGAGACCACAAATCTCCCATTAATTGTTGATTGTTAATTATCCTGTACCCACCCATTTAAAAAAATTGTTTCTGTCATTTGACTTTTTATCCAGTTAGAAGAGTTCCTCCCACCTGGCTATTCTATCACCAATGGATATCACGTGACCCACTTACATCCTCTCGTTTGATTGTAATGTATAAAGCAAGGTACGGAATTGCCATCCTCTGGAGCATTTTCTCAGTATGTTGAGGTTTTGCTTCCCAACAGTTATCACCATTTGACTCAAACTCATAATAAATTCTTACAGGTTTGGATGTTTCTTACGCTGACAAGTCCATCACCCACCACCACTAACTGTGCTGTGGTCACACTGACCCAACAGTTTGACCAACTGGCCGCCGGGGAATCTGGCGTAAGGATTTCAATGGTGGTCATAGTGCAGCAAGCAAACACAGGAAGACTGGAAAGGAGGACGTGAGGCCAGGACATGGTCAGGCCTGTAGGAAACACATGGCAGGTGCCACTGTATCGTCCTGCCACCAAGGACACAGACTGAAGGACATGAGACCAGAATCCTGCAGGTCTCAAATATCATTTCTGAATACTGGGTGCCAGGGTTCATGTCCAGCTGTCCACACTCCTGCAGGGTCAATGTCAATGTCATGTACCAGAACATCTCAAAGAGTCAAACTGAGGCACCACACTCACCACAGTGGATGGAATCCAACCCTGTCACCACAAAGTGAGGGGAAGAGACGCAGGCTCTAATCACTGAGGTCTCCAGAGGGCAGAACTCTGTGTTGGTATCAAAAGGGAGGCAAATTGCAACTCAGATTCAAAGACTCCCCTGAAGAAACCACTGGAGATGACACAATGACATTCCCGCGAGGACTTCAGGTCAGACGGTAAGTGCACTGGAATGTCCGAGGAATGGGAGGAAAATCATAATAGAAACAATGGAAACGGCGGAGGCAGCAGCAGCGTACCTGCCCCACAGAAGGCTTCAAAAGCAGTGGTAGAGATTGTGCCTAGTTCTGTCTGAAGCCAGAATCCCAGGTAAGAATTGACATGTGTCTGCTGTGTAAACTTCGAGAACCTTCTATATTTCTCTAATGCTGAATTTTCTCAGCAATTCAGTATTAGTTTCACTTTTCAGGTGGTTCCAAAAATAAAAAAATGCCCAACAAGTTAAGCCTGGAATCCTAGCACCGACAAGTACTGAATTTGTTACTTCTACTGATCTTCAAAACCAAGGTAAGAGTTATCATCACCTGCATTTCACATTAAGCCAATTGAGACTGAAAGAGCTCTAGCGAGTCACTTGGAGTTTCCTGGGGAAAGACCTCACAGTGATACCTCTGTGCCCAGCAGCACCTGCCTTCCTGCAGGTGAATCAGCAGGTTGTGAAAAGCCCTATTTCTTTCTCAAAGGCACTCCAAAACAACAGAGCTTTGTGGGCAATGGAGGGAATGAGGGGTACCTGGCCTGAGAATGTCTCTGCAGTCAGAGGCTGGAGTTGCCTAAGCCAAGCAGGCTGCAGGTGCAGCTTCTGCACTGCAAATGGAAACTTTAGCTCTTGACCTCCTCCAACAACTCAGGTATGAAGACATACTCATTTTACGCTGAAGAAAAAACAGGCCAGGAGTAGAAGGGGCATGACTTCTCTGTGACTCCCAATGGTATTTGGGGCTCTGGTATTCAAACCCAGGCTTTCTAACCAGGGGATATGAGGACAGATCACTGCCCTCCTATTTCCCCCTGCAGTGGGCTTTGGGACTCCATCTGCATGCCATCTGGTCCCTCTGAGCGTCCTGTTGCAACTTATTAACCACCATGATAGCAGACTAGGAAAATAGGAGGACACTACAAAGCAAGGGCTTACTGTATTACTAAATGTCTCAACTTTTGTAAATAACAGAAAAATGTTATCAGAGCAGGTGAAGAGTGTTCATTAATTTGTGCAGAGGACAAATTTTTAAAAAACATTAGAATACATTATTCCAATATAAAACCAATTATTCTGTATTAAAAAAGGCACAAAATGAATGAAATTCCAACATGCATCTTTCTTGTTTCACTGTCCTTTTGTTAAAGAAAACTGACAAAATTCATAGCAGATTAAGTTGAACATATAATCAGACATTTCACCAAACATACACAGATAGCAAATATACATCTGAAACAAGGACCACCATAAATCCTTAAGGAAATGTAATCAGTGAGGTAGCATGACAAAGTTTTAAAAGGGCTGACATAAAGAATTATTGGCCAAACCAAATATTCTCTAGGACATGAAGGTACTGGACCTCTCATATACTAGGAGAATGCAAAAAGGTAAAATCAGTTTAGATCACAACTTGCTAACTTAAACATTTACCTACCTATGACTCAGATTGTGTAATGAGTTACTGACAAACGTACACATGTATCTATGTAAGGAATTACAGAAATGTTTATCCCACTAGCTCAATTTCCAATAGTCAAAAACTAGAAATAACCTAATGTCCATACACAAATGAATAAACTAATGGTAATACATTCAAAGAATATTGCTCAGCAAAAGAGGTGCCACTAATAGATCATTAAATACATCTCCAAGTTTTACGCAACATAAATTAAAGCAGAAAAAAATACTGTGATCCTCATCATATAAATCCTAGAACATGTAAAGTTACCCATTAGAATAAAAAGTAACTAATAGTTACTTGGGAAAGCTGTGAAGGGCAGGGAGAGAGATTTTTAAAAGATATTAAGTAGCCCTGGCTTGTGTGGCTTAGTGGACTGAGCACAGACCTGGGAAGCAAAAGGCTGCCAGTTCAATTCCCAACCAGAGCACATGCCTCGGTTTCAGGCCAGATCCCCACTTGGGGGCACGTGCGAAAGGCAACCAATGGATGTTTCTCTCCCTCTCTAGGTTCTTCCCTTCCCCTCTCTCTAAAAATAAGTGAAATCTTTATTAATAAAAGATATGACGTAAATACAGTGACAGATATGGTAGTATGACTGTGGTGATGGTTTCATTTTAATACATAGGTCAGACGTCATCAGATACTATACTTGAAATATATCATTTAGTACATGTGTATTATACCATACTAAAGCTTTTAAAAAATTGCTCAAGATAAAGAAGAAAATTGTGTATCAACTCTTTAAAAAATAGGTTTGGCAACTATATTCATGTGCTCATGCCCTCTAGTGGTCAGTATTGCCTTAGTGACAGCACATAGAGCAAACAATGACAGAATATAGCAAACCAGGCATGTTGACTGGGTCACAAAAGCCACATCCCTGGACTATACATACCCCTTTTCTTTACCTTTGATTTTCTGCCTGGGCACCAACTGTCTTGAGATGAACATCTGAGGCCCTACAGAAATTCACAAAATCTTTTGATTATTTTCAACGAAAATGACTTGGGCCACACAAGACAAACAAGTTGGGGGAGCCTCAGACTTGTGAACTTACCAATCCTGCTATCTTTTTCACAAACACATTTCTCGATACATGTTTCTAAGAGGCATATTCCATTTAGTTGGCTGCAGTCTCCTCCAACCCCTATTAGAGGAGTGATTCTCTAGCAACCATAACTTCCCGTAACTTCTACTGTCCTACAATCAAGTGACCACCACCTATGGTATTGTAGACAACAGGGCATATGGCTCATTTTAAGACCTTTGAAAGTGATTCCCTTCAAAAGTACTGACACACCCTGTGAACTAGGTAAATTCATGCTACTCAAAGAACTTGAGTTTGTCACACATGCCCTTCCTCAGGTGATTTTTGAGTCTCCTCGAACTTATAGCATCCTGGCTTCACGTGCCAGGAAGTACTACAGTCTTTCCTAGGAGGATGTGGGCAATAATACACATTTGGTAAAAAATACAAATTTTTTTACAAATTTGACCTAACTGCTGCCACCATATCGCCTAGTCTAAGGCAGAGAAATTTTGAGACCCCCATAAAGGTTGCTCACCTCTTCATGCTTGTAGAGCCCATATCTGCTTATAAACTCCACACAAAAATACAACACCCAAGATTAAAGGGCACTTAAACAATGAGACATTCATTATTTTACAAACCAGAGAGACATGGACCTGGCAATTCTTGCATTGGTGACTTCAACACTGAACATATTCATCACAGGTGTCTAGGGAAACCAGATCCCTGAAGAATACAGTCCTTCTCAAGCTGCCAGCTGAACTCATGTTTTCCATGGCCAACAATGGGTCAGGTCCATGCCCCAACTAGTCAGAGTGAAGGAAATGCAGATCTCCTAAGAGCTGAGGCTACTCCTAAATTCCTCCAACAAATCAGAGAACAGAATTAGCTTCCCTGAGGACATTAGGACAGTGACTGATGAAAACTGTGGAGACCTGCAAGATAATACAGGTTAAATAGCTTCAACCAGAGAAATTTTGAGTGACATAAATCTACAAGAGATCTGCGTCAATTACAAAGTGCAACACAGACACGTGGTTCCCACATAATAAGAACTTATGGGGAATCTCCCTTCTGTTGATGTTTGGATATAGGAGTATAATTCAGACAAACAGGGCCTCAGAGTTTCCTCCCATGTAGTTAACACTGAACAACAAAAAAACCCTGTACATTTTATACACATCTAAGGTCTTCCTCCATTGTGAACTCTCATGTGCTGAGAAAGGTTAGATTTTCTGCTAAAAGATTTGCCACATTCACTGCAATCATAAGGCCTTTCTCCTGTGTGAACTCTCTGATGATAATGGAGTGTGGAACGAGAAGTAAAAGACTTCCCACATTCATTGCATTCATACGGCCTTTCTCCTGTGTGAACTCTCTGGTGAATAATGAGGTGAATTCTTTGCGTAAAGGATTTCCCACATTCACTGCACTCATGGGGCCTTTCTCCTGTGTGAACTCTCCGGTGTCTAATAAGTATCGAGCTATTTGTAAAAGATTTGTCACATTCACTGCACTTGTAAGGCCTTTCTCCTGTGTGAACTCTCTGATGATAACCAAGAGCAGAGACAGAAGTAAAAGATTTTCCACATTCATTACATTCATAAGGTCTTTCTCCTGTGTGAACTCTCCTGTGTTTAGAGAGGTATGAATTCTGGCTAAAGGATCTCCCACAATCAACACATTCATAAGGTTTTTCTCCAGTGTGAACTCTCTGATGTTGATTCAACTGGGAACTATCCCTAAAAGATTTTCCACATTCACTGCAGTCAAAAGGCCTCTCTCCTGTGTGAACTCTCTGATGACAACGGAGGGCAGAACTAGAAGTAAAAGATTTCTCACATTCACTGCACTCATAAGGCCTTTCTCCAATATGAACTTTCTGATGATAACGAAGGGCAGAACCAGAAGTAAAACATTTTCCACATTCACGACATTCATAAGGCCGCTCTCCTGTGTGAACTCTCTGATGTATATTGAGGTGATTTCTTTGGGTAAATGATTTCCCACATTCGCCGCATTCATAAGGCCTTTCTCCTGTGTGAACTCTACGATGTCGAATGAGTATCGGTCCATTGGTAAAAGATTTCCCACATTCTGTGCATTCATAGGGTTTTTCTCCAGAGTGAACTCTCTGATGGTAACAGAGGGCAGAGCCAGAGGTAAAAGATTTCCCACATTCACTACACTCAAAAGGCCTTTCTCCAGTGTGAACTCGCTGGTGTTGGGAGAGGTAAGATTTGTGGCTAAAGGATTTCCCACATTCACTGCACTCATAAGGTCTTTCTCCTGTGTGAACTCTTCGGTGTATAATGAGGTGATTTATTTGAGTAAAAGATTTTCCACAATCACTACACTCATATGGCCTTTCTCCTGTATGAACTCTCTGATGGTAACGGAGGCCAGAGCTAGAGGTAAAGGATTTCCCACATTCACTACACTTATAGGGTTTTTCTCCAGTGTGAACTCTCTCATGATAACGGAGAGCAGAGCTAGAAGTAAAAGATTTCCCACATTCACCACACTCGTAAGGCCTTTCTCCTGTGTGAACTCTGCCATGTTCAATGAGGTCAGATTTTCGTTTAAAGAATTTCCCACATTCAGTACACTCAAAACTCATTTCTCCAGTACAAACTGTCTGTTGTTGAATATGAATAGAGCTATGCCTGAAAGACGGCGCACACTCACAACACACATAACAACTTTCCCCAGTGTGACTTCTCTGAGGATAAATGAGGACAAATTTTTGGTTAAAGGATTTCCCACATTTGCCACACTTGTGCTGCCTTGCCCCAGAATGAATTCTTCGGTGTTGACTGAAGGCTAAGCTTCCCCTAAAGGATTTACCACAGTCTTCACAAACACGAATTTTGTCATCGGTATGGACTCTCTGGTGAATAACAAATGAAGATTTGTACCTGAATGTTTTCCCACACTCATGGCACGTAAAACACTGTCTTTTAGCATGCACACCTGAATCCTGAACAAGTGTGTTTTTGGGACCAAAGGCTTTCTTTCGTTCTTCCCAAGTACGACTACTTTTTATGCATTGAAAAGACACTCTATTTTTGGAGATTTTGTTTGGCTTCTCTCTGGTGTGAGTCGCACGTTGCTGGAGATGTCCTGAGGTGGTCATGCAGTCCTTTCCAACCTCCTCAGACGTAATGGGCTTCTGTGACTTAGGGAAATTGCAGCTCTTTGCAGATGAGGCTCTGTTCACATTGCTTATAAAGAGTTTTTCTCCCTTGCGATGGTCCTGGTACTGCTGACGGTTTGCACTGAAATCAAATTGTTTTGCACATGATCCACATCTCAACAGTTTCAGGCTGCGGAGTGTTTCCTGGTTTTCAGTCAAGTGGAAGATGTGTCTCAAGACCGAACCACACATCTCACAGGGATGAGTCTTCTGGGAAGATGGAGGTTCCTTTGGGGTCCTGGTCTGTGACACTCCCACAGAAATGCTCTGTTCAGATGGTGCCTCCACATCCTTTGCTCCACAACAGCAACCTGAGTGCAAAGAAATGCTGGTGAAGTACACATTGACTTTATTGGCAAGGAGCAACTCAATCATAAATGTTCAAATGAAAACCAAAAAAGAACTGAGGTAACTATGCTTATACCAGACAAAATAAGACTTTAAGTCAAAAACTGTCACAAAAGGCAAAGAACCTCCTAATATAATAATGAAGCAGCCAAGTAATCAAGAGGAAATAACTGTTGTAGTACACAGTTACCAATAATTGGAGCACCTAAATATACTAAGTAAGTATTAACTAATGCAAAGACAGAAATAGACATCAATACAATAGATGTAGTAGACTTCAATACTCTGATTTCTAGAATAAATAGATCATGGAAACAAAAATATCAGTAAAAGAATACCAAACTTAGACTTCACTTAAGAGCAAATGAGCTCTTCCCAAAAGCAATGAGAGATGACTTCTGAAAATGGTTCACTACTCACCTGACACAGAAAACCCCACAAAGTCATCCAAATCAAGAGAGTCGAATGTTCATGTTCACTTTACGAAAATTCACAAAACTGCCAGATCAAGAAAAGTATGCATATTAAAAAAGCCACCACATATCTGAAGGATGTCAGTCTGGACAAGCAACATGTGCCCTTCCATCACTACAATGGTGGAGTAGATAGGCATGCCCAGTACAAACAGTGGTGCTGAATACAGGGTTAGTGGGTCAAAAAGAAGGCTGTAGTTTTGCTGCACAGGCTTAAAAATGCAGGGAATAATGATGAACTTAAAGGTTTAGAGGGTGGATTCTCTGGTCATTGAGCACAATCAGGTGAACAAAGCTCCTAAGATGTGGTATAGAATTTACAGAGCTCCTGGACAGATTAACCCATATATGTGCTCTCCCTGCCACACTGAGATGATCCTCACTGAAAAAACAAAACAAAACAGACTATTCCAAAACCAGAAGAGGAAGCTTCACAAAAGAAAAAGATATTACAGAACAAAACTGAAGAAACAAAAGCTTATGGCCAAAAAGTATATTCAGCATAAAATAAATACTGCCCTGGCTGGTATGCCTCAGTGGATTGAGCACCAGACTGAGAAGCAAAATGTCACCAGTTTAATTCCCAGTAAGGACACACACTTAGGTTGTGGGTAAGGTCCTCAGTTGGAGGCACACGAGAAGCAACCACACACTGATGTTTCTGATGTTTCTCTCTCTCTCTCTCTCCCCCCTTTCCCCCATCTCTAAAATAAATAAATAAATCTTTTTTGGGGGGGGGTAAATAAAGAAATAAATAAATAGAGAGAGAGAGAGAGAGAGAGAGAGAGGGCACGAGCAAATGAAAGATACCCAAAATGAAATAAAGCAAAGATATCCAGGGAACCAACAGTGACAGGAAGGAAACCAGGACTCAAAGTAACAATTGGAACAAGAGGGGAAAGTAAACAGCTAGCCAGAACAGAACGAAGAAAAAAGAATTCAAAAAAGTGAAGAGACTTACAAACCTCTGGGTTTGTAAGTCTGGGACAACCTGAAACGTTCCAATATCCAAATTATAGGGGTGCCAAAAAAAGAGGAAGACCAAGAAATTGAAAACTTATTTGAACAAATAAGGAAGGAAAACTTCCCCAATATGACAAAGGAAATATACTTCCAGGAAGTCCAGGAAGCCCAGAGAGTCCCAAAGAAGTTGGACTCAAAAAGCAACACACCAAGGCACATCATCATTAAGTTACCCAATACTAAAGATAAAGAGAAAATCTTAAAAGCAGTAAGAAGAAAGGAGAGAGTTACCTACAAAGGAATGACCATAAGGCTATCAGCTGATTTCTCAAAAGAAACTTTGCAGGCAAGAAGGGACTGGATAGAAGTAGCTCAAGTCATGAAAGGCAAGGACCTACACCCAAGATAACTCTATCCATCAAAGTTATCATTTAGAAAGGACGGGCAGATAAAGTGCTTCCCGGATAAGGTCAAGTTAAAGGAGTTCATCATTACCAAGCCATTATTATATGATGGGACTTATCTAAGAAAAGGAAGATTAAAAATATGAACAATAAAATGACAACAAACTCACAACTATCAGCAAGTGAATCTAAAAAAAACAATAAAAACAAAAACTAAGTAAACAACAACCAGAACAGGAACAGAATCAGAGAAATGGACATCACATGGAGGGATTTCAGTGGGAAGGGGGAAGGGAGGAATGGGGGGGGGAAGGTACAGGGAAGAAGAAGCATAATTAGTAGGCATCAAATAGATGGAGAGATAAAAATTATATAGGAAATAAAGAACTCAAAGAATTCATATGTATAACCCATGGACATGAACTAAGGGGCGGGGAGGGTTGGGGGGCAGAACAGAAAGGGGATGGGGCAGGGCAGAGGGGGGATAAAGGAGAAAAATTGGGAAAACTCTTAGTAGCATAAATCAATAAAAAATACTTTAAAATAAATAAATAAAAATTTCCTTTTAACATATAAACCATCAAAACTGAATAATGTAGAAACAGGAAATCTAACTAGATCTATAACTGGTAAGAAAATTGAATCAGCAATCAAAAATCTCCCAACAAAAAAAAAACCAGGACTAAGAAGAATCACTGGCACTGCTATTAAAAAAGAGTTAATATCAATCCTTCTGCAAATCTTCCAAAAAGTTGAAGAGGTGACACTTCCAAACTCATTTTATGACATGCATTACCCTGATATCAAAGTCATTTAAGAAAAATATAAGGGAAGAAATTTACAGTATCTTTGAGGAATACAGATGCAAAAATGCTCAACAAAATACCTGCAAACTACATCTAACAGCACATTAAAAGGTTATACACCACAATCAAGTAGAATTTATTGTAGAATTTATTATCCCTAGGATGTAGTTCAACATGTGTAAATGAATAAATGTGATATGCCAGATTAACAAAAAAAAAGGATCAAAGGCATAATCATATGAACACATACAGGAAAAACAGATGACAAAACTCAATATCCTTTCATGATAAACAACCCTCTACAAATTAGGTATAGACTCTAACCCAAAGCTAACATCATACTCAACAATCAAAGGCTAAAAGGTTTTCCTCTAACATCAGGAAATAGAAAAGGATACCCACGCTCTCCACTTTTTCAACATAGTACTGAAAGTCCCAGCCTGAATACAGAAAACAAGAAATAAAGAGCACCCAAATTAGAAAGAAAGAAGCAAAACTGTTTGCAGATGAAATCATCTTATGTATAGAAAACCCTAAAGACTTTACCAAAACACCTTTAGAACTAATCAACGAATTCAGTAAAGTTGAGGATTAAAAAAAAAAAAATCAATAAACAAAACTCAGCTGTGTTGACCGGATAGTTCAGTTGGTTAGAGTGTTGCCCCAACATGCCAAGGTTGCAGGTTGAATGCCCAGTCAGGGCACATAAAAGAAGCAACCAATGAATGCATAAAAGTGGATCAGCAAATTAATGTTTCTCTGTCTCTGTCTCAATCTCTCTCTACCCACCCCTTCCTCTCTTTGTCCCTAAAAAAAAATCAATTAAAATACGCCCTGGCTGATGTGACTCAGTGGATTCAGTGTTGGCCTGTGAACCAAAAAGTCACCGGTTCAATTCCTGGTCAGGGCACATGCCTGCATTGCAGGCCAGGTTTCCAGTTAGGAACACACGAGAGGCAAACAATCAATGCTTCTCTCACACATCAATGTTTCTCTCTCTCCCTTTCTTTATCCCTCCTTTCCTCTGCTCTCTAAAAATAAATAAATAAAATAAAATCTTAAAGGAAAAAACTCATTTGTTTATAAACACTAATAATTACCTGAAAGAAAATTAAGAAAATCCCATTTAAAATAGCATCAAAAAGAAAAAAACACTCAAGAATAAAATTAACCTAGGAAGTGAAAGATCTCTATTCCAAAAATTATAAGATATTGATGAAAGAAATTCAAGATACAAACAGAAAAATATCCAGTGTTCTTGTATTGAAAGAATACTGTTATAATGTCCATTTAACCCAGAATAGTCTACCCAGAGTGATATACAGATTCTATACAATTCATATCAAAAGTCCAATGAAATTTTTCACAGATACAGAAAAAAAATCCTGTTGACTTGGGGTGAACATACAATACAGTATACAGATAGTTACTGTGTTGTAGAATTGTACACCTTAAACCTGTATAATTTTGTTAACCAGTGTAAGCCAATTAATTCAATAAAAAGGAGAAAAAAGTCCTAAAACCATTATGGAACCACCACCAAAAAAAATCCAAATAGCCAAAGCAATCTTTAAAAAAAAAGCTATAAGCACACTTCCTATTTCAAAATATTACAAATCTATACGTAATCAAAACACTATGATACTAGCATAAAAATGGACAAGTAGAACAGAATAGAAAGCCTAGAAATAAGCCCACAATATATGGTCAAATAATCTTTGATTGGGGACTCAAGCACACAAAATGGGGAAACAATAGTCTCTTCAAAATGATGGTAAGCCCTGGCCGGGTGGCTGAGTTCATTAAAGCATAGTCCCATATACCAAAAGGTTGTGGGTTCAGCCCTGACTGGTATACTTCAGTTAGCTGGGCATTGTTCAGCAAAGCAAAGGGTTGCCAATTCAATTCCAGCCAGGGTGCATGCCTAGGCTACAGGTTCAGTTCCTCTCAGGATACATACCAGAGGCGATCAACAGATGTTTCTCTTTCTCCCTCTCTCCCCTTCTCTCTAAAATAAATAGAATCTCAATAAAAAAAAAAAAAAAGGTTGTATGTTTGACTCTGGATCAAGGTACATACCTAGACTGTGGGTTCAGTATCCAACCAGACTGCATACAAGAGGCAACCAATTGATGTTTCTATCTCACATCATTGCTTCTGTTTCTCTTTGCCTCTCTCTCTCCATTTCTAAAATTAAACCTAACTTTAAAAATACACCTATCAAGTGAGGATTAAAAAATAAAATTAAAAAAAAAATAGTGATGAGCCCTGGCCAGGTAGCTCAATTGGTTAGAACATTGTCCTGATACACCAAGGCTGGGGGGTTCATCCCAGGTCATGGCACATACAACAAGGTTCAACCAATGAATGCATAAATAAATAGAACAACAAATTGATGTCTCTTTCTCTCAAATCAATAAAAATTTTAAAACTAAACAGTGAGAAAAATGGATACTCATGTGCCCCCCCCAAAAAAAGGAAAGAAAGAAACTGAATCCCTATCTCACATACCTTACAAAAATGAAAAGTAACTTAGATGTAAAAAGAAAATTTAAGACCTAAAATTGTTAAAATTTCGGAAGAAAACATAAGAAAAAAGCTCCCTGACACTGGTGTTGGCCATGATTTCTTAGATATGATACCAACAGCACAGACAACAAAAGTGAAAATAAACTAGTGGGCTATATCAAACCAAAAATTTTCTGCACAGCAAGAAGCACCATCAATGAAATAAAAAGGCAACCGAAGAAACAGGTTAGCCTGGCCAGTGTGGCTCAGTAGATTGAGCGCCTCCTGTGAGCCAAAGAGTCGCCAGTTCCATTCCCAGTCAGGGCACACGCCTAGGTTGCCAGCCAGGTCATCAGTGGGTAATGCATAAGAAATAAGCACACATTAATGCTTCTCTACCTCTTTTTCCTCTATCTAAAAAGAAATAAATAAAATCTTTAAAAAATAGAACAAAATATTTGCAAGATATTCAAGGAGGGGCCCCCCAAACCCCATAATTTATTTATGAAAAATCGTTTACTCCTACATGTTTAAACTTCAGTCACCTTCAAAGTACCCTCCATTTGATGCAATACGCCTATCAAGACTTTTTTCCACTGCTGAAGAGTTTTTGAACTTGTCAATTTTGATATGTTTTAGTGCTTCTACCATTTTTTGTTTCACCTCTTCCACATCGGTAAAACATCGCCCTTTGAAGACTTTTTTCATCCAGGGAAACAAAAACAAAAGTCACTAGGGGTGAGACTGGCCGAATAGGGAGAGTGGGGCAAAGGGGGGTGGTCATGCTGTTTTGGGTGAAAAATTGTGGAAAACTCAGCACAATGTGGGGCAGGTGTGCTAGTAAATTACCCATCATGAAATGGGCAAACAAAATGTGTTGAAAGAATCTTCAAAAAAAAAAATTCACTGAAGCCAAACACTGCCTCTCACAACAATGCCAGCTAGTACACTGATACAGATGGATTCCTAGAACACTCACTTAGAGGAGAAAGCATATACGACAAGGGGCTCACCCATCAGAAGAAAGCAACAGTTTATAGGGGTCCCTCCCACCATATCTGATAAGGGTTTAATATCCAGAATATATAAAGAATTCATATACCTTGACAACAAAAAAAACAATTAAAAATGGGCAAAGATATATATATACACATTTATCCAAAGACATACAAATGGCCAAGAGACACATGAAAGGTGCTACGCAACTCCCTCTCTCCCCCTCCCTCTGAAAAAAAATTTAAAAAAAAAAAAAAAAGGTGCTTAACATCACCAATATCACGTAAATGCAAAATCAAACCACAGTGAAACACCACCACACACCTCTTAGGATGCCTATTATCAACAAGACAAGAGACAACCAGTGTTGACCAGGATGTGAAGGAAAGCAAGCCGCCCTAGGTGGTGTGGCTCAGCGGATTGAGTGCCAGTCTGCAAACCAAAAAGCTGCCAGTTCGATTCCCAGTCTAGAGCACAGGCCTGGGTTTCAGGCCAGGTCCCCAGTGGGGGCCATGCCAGAGGCAATCATGCAGTGGTGTTTCTCTCCCTCTCTTTCTCCCTCCTTTGTTAAAATATAACTCAACATAGCACTAAGGACAAAAGTATGGAAGTTCTTCAAAACATTAAAAAATAAAACTACAATATGATCCAACAATCTCACTTCTCCATACACTATATCCAAAAGAAGTAAATCAGTATCTGAGATATTTGCACTCCCATGTTTATTGAAGCATTATACGCAACAGCCATGATACAAAAATTACCTAAAATACCTGTCTACAAATGAATGGATAAAGAAAATCTGGTATGTGTACACACACAATGGAGTATTCTTCAGCCATTAAAGAAAATCATGAATTTGTGACAACTTCAATGAACCTGGAGGGCACAATGCAAAGTTTCTCTCACATGTCAATGGTTCTCACCCTTTTTTTCCCCTCCCTTCCTTCTCTCTAAAATAGGTAAATAAAATAGTATCCAGCCCTATATAAGAGGTGATTGATATATTCATTTGATTGCACTAATCATTTCAAAATTTGTATATACAATAAAATATATTATACATTTAAACTGTGTACGATATTATTTGTCAATTATACTTCCTCGAAGCTGAAAAAAGAAAAAAAGATCTGAATACTACAAACAGAACTGTATAGGACAGTCTTGAAAAGCAGCCCATGGTAATCGTAATAGTTGTGATAATGCCTATAATAGCTGGCACACACAAGCACAAGGAAATGTCTAATAAAACAGAGGAAAAATCTGAGACACAAAAGTGCCATCTACCAGGACGCATGAACCCAACCAGGGAGAGGGCAAACAAGGTAAAATCTTTAGACTCCCTGTAAGACTACTAGCCTCAAATCCTTCCCTATGAGGGTTCGAAGAATAGGTATTTGGGCTGCAGGGAGAAAAGGGGGCAGTACAAACAAACCAGCCCCGCCAAGTCCAAGATCTACCCAGAATACTAGAAAAGCAAATAGTACCCACAGTCCACATGTGAGGACTAAGCGCACCCTAGGAAACAGAGGGCACAGTGCAATGCAAACCCTAGTCAAGGTCATTGGGAGACAGTGAGGGTCTTACCCAGTGAGGATACATGAGCAAAGTTCTCCAGCATCACATCGAGGTACAGGCGTCTCTGAGCCTCATCAAGGAGGCGCCATTCTGTCCTGGAGAAATACACAGCGACATCCTCAAGGGTCACACAAACCTGTCAGGATTAATACAAATGAAACCATGAAGGGTCTCTGAGAAATCACTACCCAACTCCTCACATATTTTCCCAATGCTTATCCTCCTCCAGGGTTCCACACCTCAGAGGAGATAGGAAGCCCTGGTGCTAGTGACGTCATCTGCCTGCAGTCCCATTAATCACTGGTCTTGCACTCAGCAACAACAGCCAGCGGGGCAGATAAATGCCACCTACTCTCTGAACCTTGGCCTGCATCCTCCCTGACAAGCAACTTACCTGGAGCTTCCCATGCTGTGCCTCCAAGACATAGCCAAACACGGGGCACTCAGGTCACACTTCCTCTCAATGTATGCATCATACAGTAAGCTAAACTGCTCTCACATCTTCAGACCGCAGGTTCACTCCCTCAGCTCTGCCACATTCGTGCTTCACATCAAGGGTATCTCTCCAGACTCACCCATGTACATGGCCCATGGCATCAGAGGATGTATGACATAGTCAAATATGATCCAGCAAAACCCCAATACTCTGCCTGATCCCACAGCCAAGAAAAGTCCCAAATGAGGCTCTGCAGTCCTCCTGCCTGTCAATGACCTTTACTTCAATCAGCAGCCACCCAGAACCGTATGTGAATTTCAGATAATAACCCCCTTCCATTTCTGCACTGCACTGTCACTGCAGTGACAGCCAAAAGCCTCCTCTTTCCACCCAACCTTCCCTAAAAGCCCAGTCCCACTGGTCTCTTTTATAGGCACAGGGACACACTGACCACATTTTTGCCCTAGATTGTATCAACCAGCAAGACCGAAACTCCCCAGATCCCATCAAAATTTACCACAAAATTGTGGTAAACGCTGCAGTAGTAGATAAGCAGGTGCACTGTCCTCGAGTGTCATCTTTCAATTACTCCTCTGCCTCCCCAGCCATCGCAAATCCATTCATCCCACAGAAGTCTTGGCTTCCTGCCCAACCTCCTGGCACACCTTTCCCACAACCACCCTCTTCTTTCTGAGGCACTAATTAGCATTACCACCATGAATTGCATTCCCCTCCTACACATGGATCCACAGCCCCACAGTGGTCTACACCACTTCCTCATGTCCCCTCCCCAGATTTCTAGATTTGTGTGTCCAATTGCCCACTTGATGTCTCCCCTCACTGTTCTCTGAAACTTCTCAGATTCTTCACAGGGCTCAAACAAAACGTCTCATATTTACAAGGAAAAATTAACCTATCACCATCTTTGCCAGCCTAGTTGATGGGGTTGTTCCTAACTCTTCCTTCCGGCCCCCCCTCACCTTTAAAAATGGACCCAGAATCCAACCTCTTCTTCCACCTCCACAGCCACCACTCCTGGCCATCCATTTTCATCTGGATTAGAGCTGTTGCCTCTACCTGAGCTCCCTGCCTCCCTCCTTTAACCCTATAATCTGCTTTCCACATGCAGTCAGGTGGAGCCTATTACATCCAAGAGAGATGAATTCTTTCCTCTTGTCCAAACTTCCCTTGATGTCCATAACAGAGGCCCAACTTCTTAGGCAGCTACGCCACAGGCCAGATTACAGCCCCCCTGCTTTTTTTTTTTTTTTTACTTGTTGTTCAAGTACAGTTTTCTGCCTTTTACTCCCATCCCAGCCCACCCCCACCACCCCCTGCTTTGTTCTTAACAAAAAGAATGGAGTCCTGCTGTACCTATTCCCAGCACAGAGGCACCTCCAAGCATTTGCACATGCTGATATCTGGCCCTGGGTTACATTTCCACACCTGTTTATGTTGGTTGTAAAGAAATGGCAGCACCTGCATGTTACCTGTAACCTACATTCAGGACACAGGCCCTGGAGGTGTCCCAAGGTTCCCCACATCCAAGAGCTGGTAAAATACCAAGGGAAGAGTCTGGAGACACCACAATCCCAGGAAGACTTGGGGTATCTCTAAAGGTCTCAGATCCAACAGTTGGAAAAACAAGTGAACGTCTGTTCACCTGAGCATCACAATCCCAGACACCACCTGGGTGGTGTAAAAACCAGAGAGGGACAGAGATACCCTGCCCTCCTCTAGTTTACATTACTGGTTTTTCAACCTTTGGAACCTGTGAGAAGACACGGTCAACCACCCTTACAGCTCCTGGTAAGCAGGTCTCAGCTGCATCCAGGCCCAGCCCTGGAGTCTGGTGACCTCCAGTCAAGTATCTGTCCTCAGTGCTGCCTCTTACCAGCTTTGTGACCTTGGACAAAGGCTCAAGTCTCCTTGTCTCATCATCACCATTCTAGTCTCGTTCTCTCTGGGCAGCTTATGGTAGAAATTAAAAGTCCTAACCCAGCTCTGTGTTCCTCCTCTGTCCTCAACCTTTCAGTAGGCCCTTAGAATGGAGGCGCAATCCCTGGCAGGCCAGGTGCCACTCCTCTCTCTCTGCTCCCCAGTGTCGTTCAGGAGGATCCCAGGGTCCCGGATCCTCCCGGCTCAGCCGCCCCTGCACATCTTCACGCGGCGGCTCCTCAGCCCGTCACCCTCTCCCATCCTCGTCACATACTGTGTCACCCACGAGCGCCTCACAGTTCGAGACGCCGGGGCCTAGCTGCTGGACGTGACGGGGACCCCTCATTCGGGATGCAGGGCTAGATGGGCTGAGGGGAAAGGGCCCGGGTCACGCGCACTCACTTCAGCCTGGCGCCTCAGCTCGGCCGCCGCCATCACTTTGTGGGTGAGGCGGGAGCGGCAGGAGAGGACAGGGCCCCCGGACACCGCGGTCCTTGCCCCAGCCCTGGCAGGGGTCACCCGGACGGCGTTGCTGAGCCTCACACCCGCGTCTGTACGGCCAGTGATCACGTCTCTCGCGCCTTCTAGGCTTCAGCAGGTGTTCCCAGACCCACCGCACTCAAGACTCTAACGGGATGAAAAGACCCTCACGGAGCCAAAATGACCGCCACCCAGAGGAGGCAAAAAGGCCCGCTTTGGCGGGATGCGCACGCCAGGGAATGCGTCATTCTGCTCCACCATTGGCTTATCACATTGGTCTCCGCGCAAAGTCTTCTGGGTAATGTAGTTTCCAGCGATCCAGACGCCGCAAGGAAGGGTGTTCACACGGCCAGACCGTGAGGATTGCTGAATAACGGTGAGAGGAAGAGAGTAGGTGGGAACAGGACGTGAATAAAGTGCATATAGTTTTTTTTTTAATATGTATTACAAGAACCTATTCTTTCTGTTTACAAAATTGGGGGTAGATTTTTGTACGTATAAGTACAATAAAGGCTATATCCTCATTCTTATACTGCCATTACCCATTCTCTATAATACAGTTGCCATCGATTACTGTGTATCCTTCCAGAAATATTTGTTAGTGTACGTTTATGGTAAGTAGCCTGTACTTTTTCAAGTCTGATGTTCCCTGACTTCTAATCCCAAGCACTCGTTTACTGTCATTTAATAATTTATTGACTATTAATGCAAACAAGTAAAATAATATTATGGATTTTAAGTGATACTATGATAAATCCTAATTTGACTTCTGTAGGAGCGTACAAAGTTGACATGTTTTGAAAAATGGCTGTGCTTCCCCTTGCTGGTGTGGCTTAGTTGGCTGGAGCATCATCCTGTAAATCAAAATGTTACAGGTTCAATCCCCAGTTGGGATGCATACAAAGGCAACCAATGGATGTTCCTCTTTTTCTCTCCCTCTCCACCTCTTTCTAAAAGCAATGAAAAGATGTCCTTGGGTGATGATAAAAATTCAAAAGTTTGCTTAGATTAACCTGTAAACCGACATAGATCATCCTAGATTTTACAAGGTTTTTGTAACCATATAATATGCTAAGAGTTTAATCTAAAGCATATTAGCTTGAGACTTGATTAAACTTCCTTCCATACCTGTGCCTTCCCTGACACTAACAGTTGCCAGAGCTGTTTTTCAGGCAGTCCAGCATGTTTGCAGGACCAAAGCGGTGATCCTGTAGAAACCCCATGAGACTGACCAATGCTGCTTGGAGGACCCTCTAGTAATCTCATGAATTTTTTTGTTTATTATACCTTCATTATAATACTAAAATCTCCTTCCAAGGGTGGAGATGTTCCACTAGTTTTAAACATTCAATGTATGTAAAAGTATGTTGTCTAACTATGCATATGCAGGAATGTCTTCACCTATATGTGTGATGACGAAGCTCAACTTGATGTTTATGCATGATTTCCCTGAAAAAAGACTAATCTTGCCCTGGATGGTGGGGCTGCAGATAGGTCAGTCAGCTCACATTTCTGTGAAAACTGCACAACCAAGCAAAAAATCCTACTGAATGTGAATGCACGTTTCACTTCCAGTTAAAACCATAGTAGGTAGTTGTATAATGTCTTGATGTCAATGAAATATTCTACTCCAATGTCAGGATCATCTTACAACTGAAAATGTTCTACTTTTTAAATAATAAGACCTTGTATTAAGCTTGTCTGCAAACGGGCCCCATTCCAATCCTCTCCGTGCACACACACCTTTAATTTCATATCTGCTCATCCTCCTCAAATAGTCTATATATTTGTACTTGCATGCACTTTCTTTTTTAAAAAATATTTTATTTATTTATTTTTAGAGAGAGGGGAAGGGAGAAAGAGGAAACATCAATGTGTGGTTGCCTCTCATGCACCCCCTCCTGGGGACGTGGCCCACAACCCAGGTTCATGCCCTGACCAAAAATCGAACCGGTGACCTTTTGGTTTGCAGGCAGGTGCTCAATCCACTGAGCCACACTAGCCAGGGCTGCACTTTCTTTTTTTTAATGTTTTTTTAATTGTTGTTCAAGTACAGTTTTCTCCATTTTCACCCTACCACACCCCCACTTTCTTTTTTCTTTTTAATTTTATTGATTGACTTTAGAGAATGAAAGGAGAAGCGAGAGAAAAATTAGATTTGTTGTTCCACTTATTTATGCATTCATTGGTTGCTCCTTGTATGTGCCCTGACTGGGGATCTAACCTGCAATCTGTTTATATCAGATTTACACTCTAACCAACTGGGCCAAAAAATGACTAATTAAATATTGTTTGGCCAATTCCTGGTCATATATATCAATACACTTGAGAACAGTAAGCTGTCAAAATCATGACGCAGAACTACTAATTGTTAACATTAGACAAGATTCCCCAACCCCTTGGTTTCAGTGACAGTTATCACTTGCTCTGTTTACCAATAATTAGAATTTTCTGTATCTTGTGGATGTTGCCTTGAGGTGATTCTGGACACTCAAGTGGCAGAAGATGGAGAGGACTGATTGCTGATAAAGAATCCACTCTTACCTTGGCCGGATAGCTCAGTTGGTTGGAACATCGTCTTGTACACTAAAATGTTGTGGGTTCCTTTCCCATTCAGTGCACAAACCTAGATTGAAGGTTCAATCCCTAGTCCGGGCGTGTACAGGAGGCAATGGATCAATGTTTCTATCTCACATCAATGTTTCTCTTTTACTCGCCCTTAAATCAATAATAAAATATCCTTGGGTGAACATTAAAAATAAATAAAATACACATTTAAGACAGCATGCTCATGTGACTAGCATGTTGGTGCTGACGTTCTGCAGAACTGACCGGTGGGGTAGGCAGCGTCTACAATACAATGCCTGTCAGCTGAAAGGCTGAAGGACAGCAGTCTGAGTAATACCCTAGGATCCAAGGACAGGCAGGTATAGGCACAGTCATTTTATTCTTATGCCATTCACAACATAAATCACATGACCAAGCCACAAGGAAAATGGGAATGAGTGGGCAGGCATAGGCCGAGGAAGGGCTGAAGACAATGTTAATAGAAAATCTGCTGTTTTCACCACACAAACATTTTGTTAATTTTATCCCCAGTGTCAATGAAAAAAATAGTGTTTGGTTATAAGCCAAACAATAGTTTTTAAAAATTTTCCTTTTTGCCCTGTGATTCTCACTTGTGGAAATGTAACCCATTTTTGAATACTAATTTTAAGTATGGTTAACTTGAACTGTCATAAATACTCCAGATATTCATGATATTACTTTTTGAAAAATTTCTAGGTGGATAATTGTAATTTCAGAGAAATTATACATCTGTAAATGGTATTCTAATTAATTCTCCTTTGTCTCTGTATAGCACCAGCTAGAATGTCAGGTGTGATGATGGTTAAGCATTAATGACAGCCATGTTCAGTTGCTAAGCGGGCCTGTGGCTCCTCACGTGGAAAGCCAAGATTTCTGATATTACTGAAATTCAGGTTACTGTAGTTTTTATTGATAAATTTCAAGTTAAGGATGTATGTCCCTATGCAGTATGGTAGTTTTTTCTAATGTGAATGGATTTAATTTTTTTCTGCATTGAAGACAATCATATTTTTTAAAGATCTTTTAAAAATTTATTATAAAGGGGAGAAGGGAGAAACATCAATGTGTGGCTGCCTCTAGCATGCTCCCTACTGAGAACCTGGCCCGGCAACTCAGGCATGTGACCTAGACTGAGAAACGAACCAGAGACCCTTTGGTTCACAGGCCAGCACTCAATCCACCGGGCCACACCAGCCAGGCCAAGAATCATATTTTTAAAAAAGATAATCACATTTTATAACCCACTTATAATGCTTCTAATGTATTTCCTAATTATTCTTGACATTCTTTCAACTGGTATTACCTTCTGCAAGCTAGCTGAATTTTGAATTGGATTTTGTGTAGGGTGTAAAATAGGATCTAGTCTTCCCAACTCTGTTTATTGAAGACTATCTGGTTGCACCTGTGGTGTTGGACTGGGAACTGCTGGGCAGGTCACGGAGCCTGGGGACTGAGTGCACTAAGCTGCATCCCTCAGGGCCTCTCCAAGGGTGAAAGCAACCAGGAACTCTGGGCAGGGCGTTGCCTTGGGAACAAGCACTGGGAGATGAGCCTTCAGAGGGATGAGTGGGACTCACCCAGGAGAGTCCCTCCTAAATCAACTCAGCAGGGGAGTGACTCCCAGTAGGTGTGCCCTCCAGCCCCCAGGGTGCCCTGGCCCTCCCATCACAGGCACAGTGGTTCTGTGGATCCTCACTGTAATCTCCCAGCATCCTGTACCCTGCACTCCACCTGACTTGCCCCATTCTTGCTGTTTCTTCCAAGATTTGGCCTCAGATCACACATAGTATGTGACCTAAAGTACTTGCATCCACAGAGAAAAAGGCCTCCCCAGGTCCCCTGGGGATATGGAAGCAGGGAGAGCCTGGTGCGGACCCCACCCCTCATAGGGTGCTTATAGGACCAGCCACCAGGTTGCCCCTGGGCCTGTCCTTCTCAGAGGCCCTGCTGGGACCAGAAAAGACCAGCAGCAACCCCAGTGCCCAGTACATCTTCCTGGGATCAGGGCGGGAAAAGTGACCCATCCAGGTGGTGAAATGCATGGAAGGTAAATACTTGTGGAAGACCAACAATTACAGAAAGAAAAATTTAAAAATGACCTGAAAGAGACAACAGTTGAGAGGCTGAGAACTCACCAGGCAAGATAGAAGGCAACTCAGAAATATCTGACCTTGTCGCTACAGCGATAAGGCTACTTGGGGTCTCCTCTATCATCCCCATGGTGCCCAGGAAGGTCCCTAACATCTAGCATATCTCAATGCTCATGTATGCAGCCTGTGGTCTCTGCAACCAACAGCCAGCTGGCAGCACCCCCTGTTCTCTGCCTGACTTTGCAAAGTCTCCTCTGGCATAAGCAGAGTTCAGCTTTCCATCAAACACAAGGAGTCCCCAGTATAATTTTTCAGCTCCTTTTCTGAGCACCTCCCTTTCTTGGTGGGAAATTTACACTTTGGAAATTGGCAGACACTATAAACGAGGCTAAACTTGCTGGACGCCTCAACTTTATATTAACACAGACAAAGATTTAAATGTGTATGGTTTTTTGTGGGTGAGACATGCCTGACACAAAAAGTTTTAAGGAAAAAAATGAGAAAATGTCCTTCTAGTATTTAGAAACAATGACTGCACACAACAAA